GGCTCTTATGAATGGCAGCAGGCAGAGCCCGCCTGTCCTTCAGGGCATCCTCCATGAAGCCGCCATGCAGTATCCGAAGCAGGTGAGGACCGTGAGCCTGCGGTCACACCGCTCAGACTTAATCTTGCATGTTACGTAAATACGTTGACAGTGCTAAAATGAGACCTCATAATGCACCAGTGGGTAGATTAGACCATTAATTATATTAACAGTATTTATAATTAGATAGTACAAGCAAGGTGAGAAATAAGTGGCTTTTAATTTCTCATTACTTCTTTCTACACCCTCCCCTCATCACTTCTCACACCACATAGACTTTTTGAGCTGATGATGACCTGTTGAGCAGCTACCCAGTTTGTCCCTGGCACTGGGGGCTTCTTACTGGTTGTTCTGCTTCACTGTTCTTTACTATTTTAATGTTCGTGGGATTCGTTTAGTGCAACTGTGAATTCTACTTACTGAAGAAAATTGTTTCCCTAGGGAATATTTTCAGTCACGTGTCCTCATCCAGATATATTTCTTGTGGCCAGAATTGAAAAGGTCCTGCAGGGGAGCATCACGCATTGCGCTGAGCCGTATATGAAAAGTTCAGACTCTTCCAAGGTAGGAGTGACTTTTATGCTTTGTGATGATAAAAAGCAATCTGAAAAGAGGACTTTATGTCAAAATATAAATGCTTAATGAAACAAAATGTAAGCCATGTTTATATAATGGTCAGAAAGTAAAGAATACATGTCTTTACTCTTTATTTAACTTTATGTGTTGATCTTAATGAAAGGTAGTCCTGTATGTGAATAAAAGGCTTCATTTGGCTAGTCTATCCTGACATCCTGAAATAATTTGCGAAGGAATTACCAGCTTTATAGTAAACTTTCTGCTGTTACCAAGTACATATATGGTATTCAGAAAGAGTTCATTCTATTTGTTGGTGTGCCTCTTGGGTTCTGGAATTATGTTTTGGTCCATATACACTTACATGTGAGGCTGGAGACTCAGAGATGATCTGGTCTCAGACGGTCTGGCCTGTAGTGTCAATGGTTCTGGTCCACTTAGTTTTTGTTAGAGGGGCAGGGTTACGTGGAAGAGGGGGCATGACCTTAGGTGGAAGAGGGAAGGAGAACATACAAGATGTGTGTTTGATGTATTGTCCAAAGTAGTTGTTTGTCACTTGGGAGGTGCCGAGGTGTGGACATACCAAAGTCATCCCAGTCTGAGATTTGCTTTCATACTTCAGAACAGTGAGGCATACATAGGTTAGTTACCTGCTCAGTGTCTCACAGTTAGAGTGGCCAGAGGGCACTTGACTGTCACTTTCTAACACATGTGCTATCTGGTTAGAGTAAGCTACTGAGTGCTGTTGTCCTTGCCAGTTTCGTAATATTTTTAGTTCTTCTTTTTTTAAAAAAATGTATACATGGTCCTCTGACAGATGGCCTGGGTTCATTGACAAGGACAGTTGGCAGCAGGGGTGGATGCCCCAGAAGCTCTAACTGAGGTGTACTAAGTTGGCTTCAGAGCTCCCTCTCCTCATCTCTGTGGGCACTCGCACGTCATAGGTGTGTCCACCAAATGCAGGATGGCCATTAAAGAACAGGTCTGCGTGTAAGAAGCCCTGGGTACTGAGTGCCTAACTAGCCTGGGTACTTTGAACAAATCATGTCACCTGTCTGGCTCCGGATGTCCCATCTGTGGGTGAAGGATGATGGCGCTACCTGCCCCTACCTTCCTCAGAGGGACGGTGTTAGGGTCAAACAGATAACGTACGAGATGGTGCTGTGGGCACTTAAATCGCAGAACACACATAAAACATCATTATTTATTACAGCCCTAGTGAAGTAAAAGCCCATTTACCCAGGCACATTGCTTCAAACAGTAAGCCTTTTTGGCTGATAAAGGCTGAGTAAAAGTTCGGTCTGTAGAGAGAAGCTGTTTTATTTTTTTGAACCAAGTCTGTAAAACCTTGGATGAGAAGCTCTTTTAGCTATTTTATGTTTTGATTAATAATCAATGAAGGCCTAAGGTAAGATCTACTCCCCTGACTGTATGCAACACATTTCCCAGGCCCATATACACCAACTTTGTTACTTCTGCCTGCCACATGCACAGTTTGAAATTTGGCAGCTCATATTGCTGCAAAAATCACATATCACTGAAGGCTAAACTTTGCACACTTCCCAGTGTCCGTCAAG